ATTATGCACTGATTGTATATATAGGATGGAATTGATCATGCATCTTTCTGCAAATATTCATAATCTTTTTTTTTAGAACAACTTTGCCAAAGTAACTATAGCTAAAATATATCATTGAAAATATGTTTATAGATAATATAGAAATAATGCAGAAAATCCTACGAATTGCTCGAACAGATGGCGCACACCCACCACATGCCGCGCTCCCCGTGCCGCTCTGAGTCATATGGCTATGGGATGGGCTATGCGATGTATTATTTTTAAAGAATTAACCTAGTCACCTCCCAGCACAGTGCGCGGGCGCCGTCTGACCGAGCGTTTCATAGGGTTTTCTTTATATTATTTATAAGCATATTTTCAATCATACATCTTTGTCATAGTTACTTTGAATATATATAGCATGAAATCATTAAGCATATAGAGGTCCTAAGATAGTTTTATGATAATGTCCACATATACCTGTTTGTTTTATATCTATACTATATATCCTTTATATCCCAGGAACTCAATATGCTTCGTGTCTGTTGAAATATCAAATTTCAAAATTCACAATAAAAACAATATCTACCGAAATTTATAATTATAGAAAAAAAAAATTGCAATAAAATAGCTTTAGCTCACATTAATATTTATGCATCAAAAATACATGCCCTAAGAATAGCTTTTTTTTATTATGAATATTGATTTTGGGAAGTAAACATTAAATATTTATATATAAATATGAAAAATAATTATTCAGAAATCGACAAAGAAATAAAAATTGGTTGTCTGAAAAGTTGTTCTAATGAGCAATAATTTTACGTGATAACATCATAAGAAAACATTGATGAAAAATTGCATACTTTTATGAATTGAATTGAATTATTATCAAGTGATAACAATTTAATTGCGGCAAGTGCCGCAATTGTTTTTGTAATATACAATCGAAACCACATTAACTTTTCACTTTACTTTATAAACAGTTAACAAAACAGTTCACGTGTAGGTTGTGTGCGGCCTCTGTCTCTTTTCTACTCAGATGCATCGACGAATGGAGTGAAAGAGAGATCGCTTGTTCTGCGCTCTCGCTCAGTTATGCGACAATAAGTCATGATTTTTCGTACGTACAGCTGGTGTTCATTCATTTATAAGACGTTATCAAGTCAAAAATATATGGGTGACACATTTTAGCAATTAAACTATCTGAACTGGTTATCATTCCTATTTAATCACTTGTCAACTGGAGATATATCAAACATCAATAACAACTCACCAAATCATTAAAATCATCAGCAACTTGTGCAAACTTTTGATATAAAGCTGTTCGAGATTTTGTTCCTTGAAATACAGATTTATTGTACTGTAGAACTTGCCGTGCATATGCTGCTTCTACATTATCTAACATGGACAGGCCAAATTTTTTTGGTGTATCAGCTACAAGGTGCTCAGGGGTTCTTTTTGTTGTTTCTAAGTTATCCAACATGGACTGGCCAAATGTCTTAGATGCATCGCCTATGGCCATGGGTTCAGGAATCTTTTTCAAATCCAACCAATTTTGTGAAGGTCCTATCATAGCGTTCATTAGTTTTATTTTCTCTCTATTCCAGTCGCTGAGCATGTGCTCCCATTTTTGGTCTTCTGTAGTTTGTAATGACTGAAATGCATTAAGAAACAATTAATTAAACAATAAAAACAAATGACAAATATGATGTAAATTATGTTTCTACTTACATTTTTGTTAACTTCATCTATAAGAGACAGTATTGCATTTTCTTTTTCATTCTTTAAGAAACTTTCTACATCAGAATCCGCAATAGGTTGCAATGGTTCAAATGTACGCTTTGAACTTAGAGTTTCCAATTTCTGTGAAATTTGTTGTAAGTCTATTCCCTTGGAGCCAAACAGCAGATGTCTAAAATTCATAAAATATATAATGGAACTACCTTCTGTACATAGAAATTAATTGAATAATCAGTTGTAAATTCTATTTTGTCAGCATTTTATATAAAAAGAAGGAAAAGAGGAAATGTTAAAAGTAGATCCCTATGACAAATTTCTAAAATGATTTGACGACACCAATATTTTCAATGTTGAAATTATACTATTCATAAAATTCACTATACTTCTTTGCACTAACTAGCACTAACTGCACTCATATATTACTACATTGGTACCATTAACTATAAATAATAAAATTGTATATTTATTAACCCAGGTAACTTAGGAAATAAATAATCAAAATTACAGTTGAATGGTTCATCCAAAACATTTTTTTAAGAAAAATGTATATGTGCTGAATGAACAAATAACAATTTACATTTCTGGGACTCAAAGAGAAAATAAATAAACACTACCAAGAAGCTCATTGTTGTTCCTTCCCTGAGGGTTTTTCTCTAGCTTCTGCCTGCATTTTTTAATAAATAAAAAATCAACTGAATAATTAAGTATAACATTATTTGTATTTAATATTAGTTTTTTATGTAACAAATATCTTGAAAGAAATCATATTTAGTTTTGAAGAGGTACAGAATACGATTCTGTTATAGGAAAATTTATGGCTATGCTACTGAATGGAATATTTAGACGAGTGCTAATAGGATTTATGTTTTCGAATATGTTGTACTTACGCTTGTATATCATTAGCGCCAGATTGAGTAACCTTAGAATAAAGTTCTTGAGACGCTTCTAAAACTTGTCCTAGAGACCTTTCGACACGAGGAAGCTCTTCATTTCCTTCGATTTCAGTAGTTAATTGTTCTGCTTGCTGCAGTAATTTACTAAAATCCGAATCACTCATTGCAGAGGTTATCATTAAAATCTTGTACGTTGAAGTTTTTATAATCGTATTTACAACAGACCACAAAGAATATCTAATAATGGATTAATTACTGACAGTACTCGTTCATTTTTCATTAGATTAATATACAAATTTAAAAAACACGCTATTCTCACCGGCGGTAATTAAATTTGACAACAATCAACGGACAACTATCAGTGGGACAACCACAGAGTATATTGGTATACATATGGAACAACCACAGAAAACGAACATACTAACGAGACAACGGACAAATGAAATGACAAGCAAAAATAATAAGTTAACTTACACCTAGATATTACACGATCATGCAAACATCAATCATTTTCATCAGTCATTAATAAAAAAATATAAAAATTGACTGAATTATAGTCGGAATAGGAATACACGTAAATGTCAAGCAAATTTCCTATCAGTTGCGTTGAAAATTATGAATTTATAGTTATCTAAAGGACAGCTTAAGGAGTGCACGTATTGAGGGAAAAAGTAATATTTTAACAAAAGAAAAGCTCATAGTGCAATCGAAAATAAAGAAGATAGCAATGCATTCTTTTGATGTAAGACCTTTATAAGCGCGCGCCGGCGTGGTGCGTTGGAATGGTTGATGCGTGGCAAAGCGTAACGAAAAAGCGTTACACAAACGAACATGTAGATATAAATTGCACACATAAGTAGGTTATACTGGAGATATATACATATGTCGAAATCAGATCGTTGAGGCAGTATACAAGACGATTTACTGCACTCGGATACAAGCGGTGAGTGTTGCGAGCCGATGCGAGGCTCAAAATGGGCGAAGGTAATGCAGCAATCATCGGCGAACCAAATGGCAAACCGAATTTGTAAATGCCAATTATATCCTATGATTATTTAATTAACTTTTGTTTAAATCACAACCCGGCGACCGCCGCAACACCAACAACATGAATGACGCCTCATGCTACCCCCGTTCCAGCGACATATATATAAATGTTTATATAATTTTTTTTTATAAATTCTTTAATTATATATGTATAATGTTTTATTCCTTACATTTGTAATTTAAAGTTTAAGTTCGTTAAATATATATATATATATATATATATATATATATATATATAGAGTAAAGTCAGAGTAGTTTAGACTTTTCCCATTTGCCAAGCGTCCCGAAACAGCTACATTATTTTCTTTGTATGACTATATTCCTTTCTGTCCACCGCACTTACTTGCCCATGAATATAGAATTTATATTAATTAAAACATATTGCAATTTAAAGAACGTTCGAAATTCATAACTAAAAAACTCAACAAACCAAAAAACAAATATAATTAAAAAAAAACGCTTTAACGATAAATTGAACTAAAAAGTGAAAATAATTATTTATATAGAAATAAAGCAATGAACGAAATATATTAGTATTATTGTGAAAAAAGCGCTCGATAAATCAGTTCTCGAAAATATTTGATCTGTACGATTAGTCCACAAATGGTACGAAAGATATAGCATAAAGTGTCTCACGCTTTTTTCACAATAATACTAATATTTTGCGTTCATTATTTTATTCCTATATTAGGAATTATTTTTCAGTTTGTAGTTCGATTTATTGTTAAAGCGGATTTTTTAGTTTTTTTTTAAACAATATTTCATTTTCTAAGTTTTTAATCTCAAAACAATATCATCAGTATTTATAATCAAAAGATTTGATTTTAAAATATCTTACGTGTGGCAATGAATATAAGTTTATATCATTCATGTCTAAATAACCTTTCCATTTGATCTAACGCATCACTATTACAATACAACGAACATAACTTTGCCGCTGTGAAGTTCGTCATGAAAGTGTCGTAATGGCGTAAAATAGGAACGCGGCGGAGAAGATGAACGATAAGAGAGCGTTTATTAAATTTTATAATGTTACAAGTAACTAATTTTTTTTTCAAATTTTAAATTTAAAATTAATTTTTTTTTTATTTTATTTTTCAATATATCTAATACCTTTAAACGAGCAATTCTTGTATATTTGTTTGTTTATATATACCAGCTATTTCGGAAACGGCTCTAACGATTTTCATGAAAAATTTTATTTAGATAAAGTTTAGTGTTTCAAGTTTATCAACGTAGATATTTTTCCCGGGAAAACGCGATTTTCCAAGAAAAAAATTAAAAACCGGGATATGAATGCTTACTTACTAAATATACAGATATTTCGCCGCGGGCTTCACGGTTGCCGTGGAGCAGCGGCTATCACGTATACTTTCTGTGCAGAAGAACCCCAGTTCGAGCCTGGGCTGCATCTTGATTCTTTTTAATTTCTTTTTTTTATCACGCTTTTTTAATTTTTTTTTATTATTATGACAAGCATTTTTATCTTGCAAGTTAAATTTGACCTACTTCCCGGTTGCTTTTTTTAAAATTAATTTTATCGAAAATAACCTCAATATTAGTTTTTTTTTTATTTTCATGGTTGTTTTTGGAATATTAATTTGAAAATGTGTCAGTCGTCAGTTGTGGTCCATTCAATGGGAAACGAGTACCATCTTGTGTTAAAAGATATAACTACGATCTCAATTAAATCTCAATACGATCTCATTAGTAGCACTAAGTAAGTAGTAAAATATGTCGAATATTACAAATTGCACAGAAATTATTAAAAAAATATTTTGGAAACATTAAAATCGCCTCAGACAACCATATTTTATAATTTTAATATTAGGACACTTGATATTTTACTGGTGATAATGGACTGTTTTTTAATCAGCCAAATGCAGTGACATTAGTTTTACAACTTGGTATGTTAACAGTGTTTTATACACTTAGTGTATCCAAAAAATAATCCGAGCAAAGCTCGGTCGCCCAGCTAGTGAAATTATTATATTGCCATCGGTCTTTGATAAATCTACAACGTTTAAATGAAATCTGACCGTTCAAAATGGATCAAAGTCAATTCCATTGGAGTCGATTACAAACAAACATACATGTATACATACAAGTGAAGCTAAAAAAAGCGTATTAAAAGGACATATGTTTATTTTTTGTATTTATCTCCTTGCGACGGAGAAAAGAGGCAAAACTCATTATAGCAATGCGTGCACTTGAGCGCACGAGGTGTGTTGACTTGCATGACTAAAATCCTGAAACATATTAACGGTTTCGCGTATTAACCCAATGGCTTTTACAAAAAGCACACGGGGATGGCAACGGCAACGGTGAAATAACGTTTGAAACTCTTCCGGATTGCCACCTTTAATAACGTCGTGGGTGAAAGGGTGCCCAGGGAAGAAGCATAATAACTAGCAAAATATTTATTACAATGTGTTATTATATTATATGTGTAAATATTTATCACAACATCTGTGAGTCAATTTATTAAATTAACTCTCAGACGATGCTTGTAAGCGTATAACGGGAAGCGGCATCAATTTACTATCAGTAACGTAAAATTGCTAAGAGTAAATTGGAATTCGATCGGACACCGATATTAGAGTGTGACCGTTGATCGTCCACGCTTGAGCGTTTACCCCCCTGCGTTCCTATTTTATCCCGTATGGCGTAAAATAGGAACGCAGGAAGAAATGATAAGTATTTTCCATTATTATTTTGTTGTAATCTCTCTTGTCGCACTTAAATTGTGATCTATAGTTAACAACTTTATGAATGAAAATATTATTAAATATTAATTTGTACAACAAAATACTACGAAAGTTCTAGTTTTATTATTTTTCCACTGAACTATATAATTTTATTCAATTTTGTACGATGTGTTGGCCGGATATGAAACGTCTCCTTTTTGCTTAATATTTCATATATGATAAATGAACCCAATTACAAATGGTCTAAGATGTATATCTGTCTATCTGTAAGTACGTATTTTTATAACTTAGGAACGATTTCACCGATCTTGATTCAAATTGGTGACTATAATCATATACTACATATAATTTTGATTAAGGGGCTGTCTGCTGGTTTGTTCGGGCTAATCTTCGAAACGGCTAAATGGATTTTAATCAATATATTTATAGGGATAGTCTATTTTCAACGATTGTGCATTTTGTTTGTTTTCTTGGGGTACCCTAGTCATTCTTTCAATTACGATGAAAATGGTGATATTTTGTACTCGCACGCAGATTTTTAAAAAGCACTAGTATTTGTAGTCGACTTCGCCTGATATTTATACTATTGAACTGAGTAAATTCTAAAAATTACTTCACTAATAAAAATTTCGGAATCATTATTAAAAGCGTGATCAATCTATATACAAAATGGAGGAATTCATTTTATGACCACGTGGACAAAGTTGTTAGCAAAAGCTAGTATTAAATATAAAACTGAAAAGGTAATATTTATTTATAAAAAAAAAAACTTCATTATTATCTTTTCCAAAAGACCAGGAACAAAATTCACTATTAATATTTATCGAATAGCGTAAGAAACTTCATTCGTACTGGATGTCCCACGATACTAGCGATATTGCACATCGCTTTCATATTATTTTTCTATAATAATTTTGTTATTTATTTGTGTAGTTGTTATTTTGTTTGTTGATAATATTGTTAACACAATGTGCCGTATGCTTAATGAAGCATCGGAAATTCGTTTAATAAAACATGAAATAATGGCATAATCTGTGCATTTTTTTTGTAAAATATTATTCAAAAGTGTCATGTAGCTTATTTTTCCATAATAATAAATAAAAAATTTTTACGTATTATTATTTTATAACGTATTTTGTTTTATTTTTACAAAATATTAACCTAATTTCAATTAATACAACAGATTTATAAATATTTGTTACTGTCATCTATTGACTTAAATATATACTATCTTCTCAATGACCGCCATCTCTTACGCCGTTTAAAGCAATATTTTCAAAAATTGCAAGTTATAACTTTAACCCCACCTCATTCTCTTCTATGCCCTGAATTTACACTTTGTCTGGGGTAATATCTGACAATGGCATTTATAGAGAAGTGACATTTACAAAAAACTTGAATACATAGAAAAGAATGTTGGATAGTTGGATGCGATGATATAAAGTTTTTATTTTATTTAGTTTGCCCGAATAAATATTCGTCCCTACGGATCATATTTAGTGTTTAATGGTACACTGGCATTGGAAGTGAAAATGAATTTCAGAAGTAATTTAAAAATCGATTTAAATCAAGTTCGTATTGATATTATGAATGGAATACGAGAATGTAACTTTCGTGGTCTGATTCAAACTACCAAATGGTTGTCTGAGCTTAATTTCGCTTTGAAGGATTACAATGTAACGTATGAAAATCCACCAACTGAAACTATCTGTGATATTCCATTACAAGAAAGAGAATTTTATCTATTGGGCAAAAGCTATTTTGATTGCCAGGAATATGATAGGGCAGCAAATGTTTTAGAAAATTGCACCGATTCAAAATGCGTATTTCTGTATAGATATTCTCAGTATATGTCAAGTGAAAAAAAAAGGTTGGATAATGCTTCGGATGTTGGTACAGAAAATCCAGATTCAACACAAGTTTTATTGGATCTTTTATCATTTTTCAAGGTATTCAAGTGTAATTTTAATGATCAATGAAGTTTAGCAAGTTATAAAATGACTTATTTGCTTCAGGTAAATCGTAACACTCTGGATGGGTACTTATTATATTTAGAAGGTATTGTGCTTAAAAAGTTGGATCTCAGAATTCAAGCTGTAAGTGTACTACAAGCAGCTGTTACTGCTGCCCCTACACTTTGGGCTGCTTGGTTGGAGTTAGCAGGTTTAGCCAATGTGGCTGAGGCTTTGGATTCTCTTCGATTGCCTAAACACTGGATGATTAACTTTTTTATTGCTCATGCATTTGTCGAGTTGAAACTTTCAGATCAAGCTTTAGATGCATATATGGCATTAGCAGCCGTTGGTTTTCACAAAAGCACATACATCACAGCTCAAATGGCAATAGCTCATCATGACAGAAGAGGTCCAATAATACATTCTATGAAATGTTTCAAATATTCAAATAATAATTTAAATGTAGTATTATTTACTTCTAGAACTGAATTTAAAATGAATAATTTGATATTGCAGATGTTGATTCGTCTTTAGCATTATTTAAAGAATTATATCAAAGTGATCCTTATCGCTTAGATAATTGGGATGTATATTCACATTTACTATACTTGAAAGATAAGAGAATGGAACTTGCGAACTTAGCACAGAGAGCTGCATCTATTGATAAATATAGAGTAGAAACTTGTTGTGTTATAGGTTTGTATAAGTTGTTTTTTTTTTTGTTAGAATTTTATTTAAATGATATTAATATTAAAAAATATTTGCGGTATGTTAAAATTGTAAATCAACAAAATTTAGGCAAATTTTTAAAATAATTCTTAAATAAAAATTTCCTTAAAATTGGTTCAGAAGTTGACTGAAATGTTAGGGAAGATTTATTGAGTATAAATTAGATTTTTATAATAATGATTAATTATTTTTGTAGCCATATAAAATAAAGCTGTTGTTCAATATTGATTAATAACTAATAATATTTAAAGTTATGCATTGCAGTATTCTTGAATATCTGCTTGAAATTTTTTATTTAAGACTTGCACAAATAGGAAATCCATTTTATTAAGAACATATGTAATATATGTGTTCATTTTGTCACTTACCACATAACGTAGTCCTCAATTAATTTAATTTCATTTTACAGGTAATTATTATAGTTTAAGGAGTGAACATCAAAAAGCTGTAATGTATTTTCAAAGAGCTCTATCATTAGATCCAGAATATCTCACCGCTTGGATTCTGATGGGGCATGAGTTCATTGAATTACAAAATTCAAATGCAGCTATCCAGTGCTACAGACATGCTGTTGGTAAATGCAAAATTTTCACTTAAATATATATATATATTTTTAGGTTTTTATTTTTGTATCACTATTATGTATATATGATTATTTTGTTTTTCTTGGTGTTGAATCTGTCTTGACATGTAAACGGTTACCGTATGAAGAATTATATTAAAATCCTATTTTGGACTCAATTACATTACTTTTTTTGTAACAGAACAGATGTTTTTCATAAAACATTCTCCAATTGTTGCAATAAAAAGTTTTGTTCAAATTGGTCCATTAGTTTTTTATAACCAACAAACAGATAAAACCTTAAAAACATGTGTTATGAGATCTACTCGATTACATAGTACAAGGCACGTACTTTTTTTTTTAATATTTACTGTACGAATTTGTTTTCCTTATGAGTTTATTATTTATTTTTGTTAATATATTTTGAATTTGTATTTTCACGCATATTTAAATCACCTAA